CAGAGACGGAGCCGAGACAGCTCGTAGCGTAGAGAAGATGTAAAGGAGAAGTGTATTAATAGTATCCTGCCAAGTCTGGGCAGCACACGTGTCGCACAGCGTATAGCCTTATCGAGAAGGAGCCATCTCCGGCGACGGATGGGAGGAGTGAGGGGCGATTGGTGGATAGTGTTTGTTTGTGTTGTGCAGCTGGAAAACTGATGTTGAGATGGCGTGACAGGGTCTGTTTCTGTTCACTGCAAGACTGTTATCCAGAGTGACCGTGTTGTCTTCCCTTCCCTCTGCAAAGGTTATGTCATTGCCAGCAGTCCACATGACACACTGGATGAGCCATTGCTGCCTGAACCAGAAGATGTTCATCAGGTTGGTCTAGAAGCGCGTACGGCCTTCCATCAAATCCAGACCACGTCTGAAAGAACTTTAAGAGAAAACCGATGTTGGTTCCTGATATTTCCGTTCTTTGTTTGTAACCTATAGTGAGGCTGCAGCTGCATTTTAGAAGTGACGTGATTGTTAATCGGGTGTGTTGGGTTGTCAGCTCAGGGTGCATGATCTTGCCAGCATGACTCAAGTCTGCCCATGAGCTGCTTCCTGTGCCTGTGCATCTACTCCAGTAGCCTGTATGATCTATTTTAGATTCTTTTGCCCAAGGATGTGTGTGCAGCCTCGCATCGTCAGAGAGAGACACAGAAATAAGCAGAATAAATAAAGGAAAGAAAGGAAGAAGAGGAGGAGGAGTGAAGGGAAATCATGGTGTTCACATCATCTATGGGCAATCATGCAAATGCCCCAGACGTCGAGCACTCGCAGATGCTGGAGATAGAGGCGCAGCCAGGGACCGCATTCAGGCAACGCATATGTGAAATTATGCAAAGGAATGAATGAGATCTCCATCAGTCATTAGTCAAGTCCAACATGTTCGGAGCACGTGAGCCGAAACATGTGTGACACCGTCTCCCATTTGGGCGGCTGTAAATTCACACGTTCGTCCAATTGGATTCATTTGTACTGCCTGCGTGTTAAACCGCTCTCATTGGTGCATTTCTTTGACACAGGCGACAGAGCCCAGTGTTTGACATATGCGTGTCTTGACTGCGTCTCAAGGCAGCAGAGTTCATCCTGCTGGAGAAATGAGCAGAGGCAGCGACGGAGAGACCAGGCCTTCGTTTCAAGCACAGACGTCGTGCTCCTTGTGGCCTTCACACGTTGAAGAGGCCAAGCCGAATTTGGCGTGACCCTGAAGTGTCATCTTGATTAAGACTCATGTTCCACTTCGACAACCACTGGGCCCTGATATTTGTGTGTATGCTTGCTTCTGTGCAGGGATACTGAGTTGGGTTTTTCTTTTTCTGTGCCCAGCCTAGAAATTGTAGATTTTCTCTTCGTAATCCCACAGGAGACGGCGTCCTTGGAAGGCTTGGTGGTGTGGCGGCAGCAGCAGTAGGGGCATTGTGGTTGCTGAATGGTTGGGTCTAATCTTTTGGAGGCAGTGGTCTGTTGGAGGGGCTTTAGAGCAGATTGGAGCCCAAAGGGTGAAAACATGAAAATACAAAAGAAAAAACAAAACAAAATGTTCTTTCCTGCTTGAATGTTACCCAGCATATCTAAAATTAACTAACTGAAATTAGTATTTTCATTTAGCCTTTAAAAACGCTGCTTATACATTACATGCAAGTGGCGAATCCACCTAAATAGGTCACCAAGAACATTTTGTAAAAGATCCTTCAACACAACAGCCTGTGATCTCTTGCCACGAAGAGGTCCGTCATTTGACCTCAACACTAAACAAGAGTGTTGCTACTTTGAGGCCAATTTAACCTCCAAGGGACAATTTCAAAATGACAAAAACATAAACCTAAGACATGGAGCATCCATACAAATTGTTTCAGGATGACGGCACACTTTGTTTGATCCCCAGGGACTGAGGAAATAAAGGATGCTCCTTGTGTAGCTGAAGACTGCCATCTGCTGGTGTTTATAAACACATGTTAAAGGTCTGATCTTTTCATTATCACACATATCCCTTTTTTAACGAGTACGCAAGTCATAATAAAAACAGGATTCCTATTTTCTCACTTTAAAGAGCAAGTCACCTCCAAATCAATGTTTTTGCTGATAAATGAGTGTCTAATCGTGCTGTTCACATGTGCAGTCAATAATTTGACACTTTAGTGCATCTTGGTTAAAATTTGAATATTCTGCCTAAAATGGCCATTGTTGTGCCCTCTTCAGGTAAAACCTCTGCATTACATTTGAATTTAAATCTGCCATCACTATTGGCTAAGCGGTACCCTACGATGTTAGCTGGCACCATATGATGTCACAATGTCGCAGTGAGTCGGTCTGTGTATAGGTGTATTTGTTAGCAGCTCCACCCTCTTGGTCTGCCAGGGAACGACTCCTTGTGGCGCATTTTTCAAACAGGAAATGGGAGTGGAGTTAGACTCTGGTAGAGGGTGACTTGCTCTTTAAAGAGAGCAGACTTGTCAGTTGTCTTTTGTCACCATGACATCAAACAGAACCTACGGCCAACGGAAAGCAAAGAGACTATAACCAGTGTCCAGGCGACGATGTCAGCTGCTTATCCAGAACAAGCCAACTCAGCCGCAGAATTTATTACACACACACACACACACACACACACACACACACACACACACACACACACACACACACACACACGCACACACAGCCATTAAGCAGAAAATAGAAAGACATTAAATATGCAGTTGTTACAGGACCAGCTTGTCAACATGCTTTTAAAACACTGTAAAAACTACACCTGTGAATCACAAGAACTTTGAAATATCTGCAAGAAGGACGTGTATGCGAGCAGACTGGGACAACAAAGAACAGCTGGCTTTGGAGACATCCAGCTGTTTTTGACTTGAAAAGTCAGTAAAATGTGGGAAAGGTGTGGGATCACCTTGACAACACCCTATTATTCTAAAAGCTAAAGAAAGCGAATTAAATCCCCACAGCAAAAATCATTTGAGCATAAAATAATATGAAATTATTTCTTTAAAGTTTAAAAGCAATCACTAAATCATGGTTATGGGTCTCTAGATGGTGTCAATGTTTGAGGCACGTTTACGATCCCTGGAACCACCGTTGCTGGTTACTCACTTCCGTTTCTCCTAAGATGTGTCAAATGCAAACCAAAGATGTTTGGGTGGAGTTTGACGAGAAGGCTTTATGGTGTCCATCACCAGCCTCCTTTATGTTTCAGGATCATCTCTGCTCTCTACAAACAGGAACCATCAGTCCGTAAGTGGGTTTGTCATTTGAGAAGCTCGTTTGAGTCTTCACCTCCATAACAGACTTATCCTAATGCCACTCAGAAGCAGAAATGATGCTGCTGCACTTTAACAGGTTCAGATGGAGAGTCCATTAAGCATCATTGGAAGGCCTTCCTTTGTTGCTTTGACTGCAACTTAAAGGTGGAATATGGAACACAAACAGCAATGTGACATCTAGTGTACAGAGGTTGTCGTTACAACAATAAAACGAGGTTTCCAGCCGTCGCAATACCAATGCGCAAAATATTTTCTTTGGGTCCATCCGTTTGTGGCAGTGTGTCCTGTCACAGTGTCCCGATTGATGACGCGCCCTGGCTACTTGGCCAAGGGGATGTCCCTTTGCCTGACTGGTAAGCGCGCGTGACTCAAGAGTCTGGGGATGGAATACTGCCTGAGCCCTCATTTCTCCACCTTGCCACATGTTGTAGGCTTCATGGAAACTTGCTCTGGGTTTAGATCTTTTATGGTCGTTTCTCTTCTGAGAAGGATACAACATTTTCTGGGCTAAAAAGGAGCTGCTCGACTTTCCGAGTCTGCTATATTCCCCAGTGCCAGCCTCGCTGTACAGTGGTGCCCTCTGTTGGCTGGTAGATGTGACCATAAGCCCAGTGTTGTCCCCGTCAAACTAATATTCTATTATTTCTTAATTAAAATATAGCTTTTATAGCAAATACTATAACTTCATTCTGCACACCTCTCAACGTTCTTCAGAGGAAGTTTTTTTTAAGTATACAGCTTTGTATTAAATTGTTCAATATTCAACCTTTAAGTGTAGTTTTCTGAGCTGCTTGCTGATATGTAAGTCAGAAGAGCGTCCAGAGTGATTAACCTGGACTACCGCTACCACTTCTGTAGCCTGGCCTCCCAGACGTGTCCTCTATTTAATTCTACACACAGAAATATAAAACTTAGAGAACCCCTTCTGGAGGAAGAGCAATGCACATCCTGGCAGAAGCACCCCACCCAGTCACCGTTTCTTCTTCTCTGTTAGCGTCCAGACGGCGCTATAGGGCTGTGAGGCACGTACTTCCAGACTGAAAAACAGCCTTGTACCAAGAGCAATTACAGTACTGGACCTGATGAAAGTGAGTCCTACTGATCAGTAACCGAAATAGGTTTTGAGAGAGTGTGTGTAAATTGCAAACCTTTATATAAATGTGTGATTTTTTTTTAAGAGATGTTTTTAAGAGTATGAGTGTGCACGAGTGCATCTATCATCCACAGAGCATATTTCAATGAGTAGAAGGGTGAACTGAATCGATATGTTGGCTCTAAAGATCGTGATTATGGGAAGTTTCTAAAAAGCGTTCTGGAACAAAGATCCTGGGATTGTTCAAAGTTCTGGACAGACTTGTATTTTTAAAGAGTAGCTTAATCAGAGGAACAGTTCAACACTTCGCTAGATGCTAATACGATTCAGACTGTACTGATTTTACAAATATTCACTCAAATAAGTTTCTTAAAAACTGTCTTTTTCAGTGCTCATCTATAGACCACAAAGCAAAATTAGATTTATCTTAACAAATTATTTACAAACAAAGGTTTGCCACGGAGTCACTTGATGACATTTTGTGTTTTCGTCTTCTTCTTGGGAAACAATCACTCTTGAAACCAGGAATGGCAGTAGCTGTACAAGCAGCACCGTTTGTTTTCAGCCCTTTGGTGAGTGTACTAGAAAGAAAAAACATGAGGAGCAAGAAGGTGAGTATTATATGTTTATTTAGAAAAGGTTAAAGGAGGTACAAAAAGTGGTACTTTCTTCCTGCGAATTAAGGCAAACAAATGTTTTAAATGTCTCTATGACAACTTCAGAAGCAGGAACGTTAAGCAGTTATTTGTGGTATACAGGTACAAATTAAATAATTTCTAATTAACCTAAAACACATCAGTGAAATCTTTACTTGTGTCAAACAAGCAGATGCCATGAGTCCTCGTTTTCTAACGGGAAACAGAAACGTTTCTACTGTGAACAGTTTTCTTCTGACACGACACAAAGAACGTCTGGTGACGAAAGTCTGCCGTGTTCCTGCACTTAACGGACAACAAGAGGAAGATCACACGGTGCCATTCCACTCCGAATGAAAACTAAATTACTATAATCATTCCGCACGGCGCAATGATAGTCCTAGATGTGGCGCTACAGCAAAAGTAGAAAGAGTCTAAAAAAGTTCAAAAATATCTATACAAATGAGGGTTTTTGCAACACATATTTGCCAAACAGCATAAAAGTTGTGTTGCCAAATGGTAAACAACAAACAAATGAAATGTTATAAAAGTCACAGCCAAACGACGCGATAAAATAACGTAAAATAAACTTTGGTACTAAGTTAAGCCCTCTTCGGTTATCATGGCCATTTTGAAAATACTGTTAAATCATTAAAAATAAAAAAAATAAAAACGATAAGTGTGAAAGTATTTGTTCAGCACAAAGTAACAGCAAAAAAATCTGTCAGCAGTGGTGGGAATGTTGACTCAAAAACCGAAACTATCCATGCTGCACGCAGCAGTTTAAAGACTCAGAATGAACTCACCTAATCAGTCAAACTCCTCTCCGTTAGAAAGGCACGTAAAAACTTTTACTTTCTAGAAATCAACATGAAACAATCAACATGTTGAGAATAAATAAAGCCACTGCTATTAAACCAGACTACAGATTCAGCTGTACTCAGTCACGTGTTGGGCTACAGCATCCAGCTCTGCAGAGAAACAACAACGCAGCCCATTCAGCTGCACTCAATGCAACCTTTCCAGAGGCTGCCACTCGAAGATGGACGCCAAGATACACACCTAAATAAAAAACCTGGTACAAAAAACATATCGAGTACAACTGTCCCAGCAGTGAGTGTTACGGATAAAAAATAAATTCTGAGTAAATTATAGGATAAGGTTTGTAAATAGAAACCAGCTATTTGAAACATGCCTTCTATGATTGGTGTTAGTGGAGAAAGAGAGTACACTAGTGAATACTAAAGTGAATCAGCAGTTCACCATCAGGGTGACAGATGAATCTAGTGCTGTTAGAAAGCAGGGGAACCGCTCCATCATAAACTCAGAACTCCCACCAGAAATGGGTCAACTCGGTGTTCAGGAACCTGCCAGTGCAAATGAGACCTGGCTGTCTATTTCAAGTACTATTGATTAAAATGCAGTGTTTTTAGAGTAAATGTATGGATGTACACGTAGAAGGACCAAGGCAGCAAATGTCTTTGGCTCTTAAGGCAGCAGAAAGAGAAATGCTCACTCTGACAGCAGACTACTTAGTGAATCTCCTACAAACCTATGATTGTACATTTTCCTCTCAACTACCACATGATACATGTCAATTTTCCTTTATAACAGAGATTTGCAGCTTTATGTTGCAAACTTTGTCCTGAGGTCCTTAAATCTCCAGGAGTGGACCGCCTGTGTGAGCACCGTGTGTTGCACTGTTCTTGGCTAAGGGAAGCTGGTTCCACTCTCGTATGCACATGCTTACAAACTGATTATTATTGCTCTCCTCTGGCTCACAGGTCAGCCTCTGGAGTTTGAGGACCCCCACCCCTGGCTTGGATCTGACGCCAGGTGTCCCCCAGTGCCTTGGCAAAGTGGTCGTCCACAGAACCAGTAATGGACACAGAATTGGACACGACTTCTGCCTCTCGGTAGTTCTTCCCGAGGCTGCGACGGAAGTGCTCCTCGATTACAGGGTCACACACTGCGTTAGCTGAAAAGACACAAGCAGCAGAGCAGGTTGAGGGTGACCAATCAGAGCAGTTCTGGAAGTTCACAGTGAGAGTCAAAGAAAAGTTTTTTAAATCTTTCTAGTTGCTGCTCAACATTTCACAAAAACAACAGAACGATCAGCAGAACTAAGTGATTTCTGCCTGTTAAGATGTCAAATTTAAATATACTTTGTGAATTTAACATGTTTACTTGGGAAAAATAAAATCAAAGCCAAAACTGTGTGATGTGATCAGTGTAGGGCTACATTTTAAAGCTAATTACTAAAGTACATGTTTATCTTGTCTCTTGCTCCATCAAAAGTAAATTTGGGCATCATGATCGATGACCAGCTGACCATAAAATCAAGTTGACTCCACTGCTCATTTGTGCCACTTTCTAATCCAACAACTGATTACTACCCTCTAACTGATCTCCCAGCCTTTGCTGTTGAAGCTCTTAAGATGGTCCAGAAGTCAGCGGTGCATCTGGTCTGTAATCGGCCTAGAAGAACATGTCACGGACCTCTACTGGCTACCCCTAGCTGCCAGCATCAAACTCAAGTCCCTGAAGTTAGCCAACAAAGTCAACCAATCAAGGCTTTATTTATATAACGCATTCCTCACCCATTACGGGAGGCCAAGGCGCTGAAGAACAAAATACAATCATGATAAAAGAAATTAAAACGTTGAACATGAAACAACAGAATTAAAAGCAAAGAATCAAAACTACATAAAAGCAAGCCAACTTCAAGGATGTTCAGGAAATGCCAAACTAAATAAATGGGTTTTCAGGCGACTCGGAATAGAAGTCCAGAACAGAGCGGTCCCCATCTACTTGAATCCTCTTGCAAATACTTGTGTCATGACTCGGTCACCATGGTCACCGAGGACCGTTGACTAACAACACTCCCAGACTATTCATGTGTCCGTGCCTGATGAGCAGGCACATCCGTCTATCTTCGTCTATCGTCAGAGAACAAATCTTCTGCTCTCTCTTTGTGCACCTCCCTCTAGAAATGCACAGATATGAAGTTTTTGGGCCAATACCGATATCCGATATTAAGATCCCCGTTATGGCCGACAACCAATACCTGCCGATACAGATATGCTGGCATTAATGCATCTAAAATCAGCAGATTTTGTGTATAATGAAAATTATTAAAGCTGATTTTGCGTTATGTAAACACACCACACGCATTTACGGTTCTGAGATGATTTCATTCACTGTTCACATGAATAAACACACACCCCATCCCCTGAAACAGGCAAACAAATGGAGACAAGATGGAAAAAATATCGATTGTTAATATCGGCCCGATATGTTAAAAAATGACTAACATCTGCCGATACCGATATTAATGCCGATATAGCCTATTGTCCATCCCTACTTCCCTCTATTGTAGCACTCTTTCCCCCCTGAGTAGCTTAGATTACTTGTACTGCTACAGGTTGTTTTTCCAATCATGCGACAAACTGCTGTTGAAATTACTCGGATCTTTGCCCAAGTTTTCCTGCTTGGAACACATCACGGGGTTCTTATACTTTCCACACTGACAAATTTAAGCACTTTTTAAGCATTTTCAAGGTAAATGTTCAAACTTTTCATGCACCATACAGTGAAGACGAAACAATACAAAAGAACTCAAGGGGACGGTTTCACCTCACCTCACCATAGGGATGATCCTAGCCGATCACAGGATCGGAAATTGGGTCTGATCATGTTATTTTAAATTATTGGAATTAGTGAAAAAGATTGGCTATAACCTTTTAAAGCAACCAGCATCGCCTTATAAATTCATCCTAGAGATTTTCAAACATAATGACGATGGCTTAGTTTTAACCTGTCTGGTTTTAGTTCTAGTCTGTCACCCAAAAACCAAACACCCTGCTCTCTCGGTTCACTGCAGCAACGTGGACAAAAACACACAAACAGCTGACAAAGATACACTAAAGATCAAAGAGAAATTGCCTATGAACCGGTGTTACAGACAGAAGCAGACCCTCCCAGAGCAGCAGCAACCGTGTTTATTAAAGGCTAAATTATCTCTAATTTTTGTTGTTAACAAAAATAACAAATTCAGTTTATCAGTTGATCTTATATACAAAACTGTGCAGTTTGTTTTTCAAACTTTTCCAAGGACTTCATACATGAATCAAGCGCTTTCCATACCTTGAAAACATGTTATTAAAATTCAAGCATTTTCAAGGATTTTAAGCACCCGTACGAACCCTGACTTCAGCTTCCAGAACTTCCTTTCCTTCCTGATGCACTTCATCTCTTAACGTGTGCTACAACGCCATCAGTGTCAGTGCTTATACATTTCCATGTTGACTGCTGTAGAAGAGGCTGGGTTAGGGTTTGGAATGGTTACCATTGGTGTTTCTCTGATTTGCTGGCAGGGTGGGAGTGCAGCCGTTCATGTGGCACTGTGACAGATTACAGTTGCGGCTGCTTGCAGGGGCACATGTAATGACCGAGGGACGATTCTGAAAAATAAACAAATAAGAGTTTCCTAAAATTATCTGATAAAGATTCATTTGAGACTAGAGTTGGACAATCATTCGATATATATCGATAAGACGTGTGGTGTGATACAGAATCAATCAATCAATCGAGTGAAAGCAGGAAGGTATGAAGTCATTTCCTGTCATGTATATTGTGAATAATGTGCTGCAGCTGAACCTTGACTTGAAGAAAATCATGAGTTGAACTGAAATCTTCATTTCTGCTAGAAAAACAAACTCAACTCAACTCAATCTTTTCCTGAAATTGTTCAGTCCTAGGAAAATAAAGATGTTTAAATAAAATATAGAATTTAAGTCAGTTTTTTAATCATTATTGATATCGATCAATGTGAATAATATTTTATCAATATGCTCTTTTTCTACATCGTCCAGCCCTATTTGACACTACTATAAGATCATTTAAGTAGCACTGTGGTGTTTTCCTTTCTCAACAGGTGGACATACCTGCTGCCGGTCTGCGGCGCCACTCATGACAGACCCCGATATTTTGCCAACTTCATAGTCATTGTTGCTTTTGGTCCGAGCAAGAGGCAGGTCCACGTCATAGCTAGAAATGGATGCAAATGGGTGGTTCCCATGGATACCATTAGAAAAAGAAAGAATATGCTCCACAGGGCCGTGGCCGATGCTCCAGTGCTCGTTGTGGTTATCTCCAGCAGATGGACTAGCCCTTATAAAACAAAGTGAGAGTTAAACATACACCACACACAATAATCTCCATCTAAATGTGGGAGGTTCCACATCACCAAGGTAGTTTTGTTAGAGCCGTAGATCTATAGTCAGTGTTTTGCCTCCAAAAGAAAACCTGTCTAACAAGTTGTTAGTTTAAACTTGTTAAAACAATCTTACATGTGTGAAGCAAACATTCTGCTCATTTTAGTCACATGGTCATCATCACAATTGATTCTGTCTTCCGTTTGTTCTTCTCCATACTTTCGTTTGTTTGAGAAGAGTGGAGGAGGTCCGGTTAAGGTGGGCACAGCAGTTGATAGGGATGGGATCCTGGACTCATCTGTAGAAAACAAAATAATCAGTTTATTTTGAAAAATATATACCTGTAGAGAAGTTTTATTGCTAGCACAAGAATTTAGCCGACATTGGCTTAACATTTGCATAAAGTTTAAGAGCATTTTGGAATGATTTGTCTATGAGTCTAAGCTTTGATCGTTAAAACGTCAAACAATCTTATTTAAATTGCATCCCTTAAATCGTTTATTGCAAGTTTTAGTGTTTTGCATGTTACCTGACATGTTTTGTTAAAATATTCTATAAAGCAAACAATTTGTTAGATGCACACAAGAAAAATACATGATAAAAGATCATAAATATAAACTTTTTAATCTGTCAGAGGGAAAAAAATCATCATTAATTAAATCCAGATTGTATATAGTGTTCTCAAAGTCTTGTTAAATATTCCAAGAGGAGATTATTCTCTGAGGGAAACTTTGAGCCATTTGAGGATCAAATGCTTCAAACAACCTAAAAAAAAGAGCCGATGATTTTGTGTGTTCAATCTATTCTTCATTAAATGTGATCAAACCTATTGATACAACAACAATTTGAGAGTCTGAAGACAGAACTGTGTATTTGTTTAATATATAAATCTCAAAAGAAGTAAATATGAAATATGTGTATTAAGAGTACAAATTCTAAAAACCAGATATATGCTGCCATTTTAATACTGATATCAAGTTTTGTTTCTTTAAAATTTGTCTTGACTGTGTATTAAAATCTATCTTTGTTGTTTCACAAACTCTTACTGATCACAAAAACGGAGTTATTGTTGTTTACCAGACAGGTTTATGGCTGCCATGAACTAACGGGAGTGACGCAAAACAAAACAGGAGAAACTGGTGTTGGAAATGCTTTAGTGAGATGGATACAACACAGGATGAGAAACTGACCATCGTAGTGCAGTCTTCCGATGTTATTGTTCATCTTGTCCAGGAACTGGGAGTTCAACAGGTCCATTCTAGCGCAAAGCATTTACACGTACAAGTTACGTGCCAACATTGACGCTAGCAGGCTACGTCACCAAACCACCACAAATCTGACGAAGACAAGCAAAATAAGTTACGGAACAAGAACAAAATCTTCTATTTCAGTTAAAACACAAGTCGCTGGTAGTTTCTGAACAACAATGATAAGGTAATAAATGTCCAGACCCTGATTTAACGGCTGATACGACACGCGTTTGTGTTCATTTGGCAGCCCTGCTAACTCTTAGCTGCCTGCTAAAACATTAGCATGTAACCTTTAGACGCTTACTTTCTATGTTATCACTACCCAAGAGTCACAGTAGCTGTGAAATACAGTTAAATCATACGATTTAAACCCAGAAAGCATTTATATACACACATATAATGATGTTGGTGTTAACGTCATTGCATCTGCGAACAAAGTAGAGCTAACTTTAGCTCTGAGGTTAAGACAAATCCATAAGGATGGTACGAATCGGTACACCCGATAGCATACGGTGTTTTATCCAACAGAATAAACTTCAAAAAGGCGTAACTTAAGCACTCAGCTGTACTTACTTATTCAGGAAATATATTCTCACACCATCAACACATAGCTAATGGAGCTAGTCTGTTCAAGTACACCTGACTGCAGCTGAACGCAAAGGGGGCGGGGCGCTCGGCATGTTAGTTTGGCAAGCCAGTTTGTAATTTAATCAACAATTGGACCTCTCACTGACCTCTCATTAATTCCTATTTGTAAAGCAGAAATATAATTCATCCTAGCACTAATTGTGTTCGTAATGGTCAAAATTGCAAACGAAGACATGAACAGCTATGTCGTCACTAGTGGAAATTATATCCATAATAACAACGGCACTAATTTTGAGATACCTCAAAATTCTTATAAATGAAAATGGCCAATTTAACATTTATTAAGCAGACTGGATATGTATTCCACATCTCTATAACTGTATTGTTCGTAGTAGAAATTAAAATTCCAGATGTCCATGTTCCAGATGTCCATGAGTACATTCCCATAGCCCATAATTACCATTTCATATTTCAGAAATGTAATTCTTCCTAGGACAAATTACGTCACATTTTCCAGTTATGTGTTTTTTGGCAAGCCGTTTAAGCATTTAATCAAAAATCGGACCTCTAATTCCTATTTTGCATAGCAATAATATAATTTATCCTAGTACTAATTGTTTTCCTACGAGTCTAAATTGCAAATGAAGACATCAACAGTTATTCGTTACTAGTAGAAATTGTAATTAAGGATATCTATTGTAATTAAGGATATCCAAAATAACAACTGCAGTAGTAGGATTGATTCAGATATCTCAAATTATAAAATTAAGGTGGCCATTTCAACAATTATTAAAAGGACTAGATATGAAATCCAGATATCTACCACTCTATTGTTATAGTTGAAATTAACATTCCAGATATCCACAATAGCATACCTACTATCCAGAATGAACATTTCAGATTATCTGAAATGTAATTTTTCCTACACTGTAACAGGTGGCTGTAAAAACAACGTCATGATTTTACAATAACCACAGAAGTGAGTACAGTCTTGATTAATAGCTCCTGCAGGTGTCTGGGTCGCCAAAGTACCAGTCCAGGTGCCTTGGTGTTGGTGTCACTGAGAGTTCTGCTGGGTCCTTGTTGGTCCATTCTGTCACAATAAAGGAGTTTGGACCCAAGGTGCAGGAACCCAGAACGACCCGGAGAGATGAGGTGTGGAAAATTAAAAAAAAAGGTATTTATTTAAGGAAATTAAAAACAAATCCAAAACTAATCTAAATACTATAACATACCACAATTAAAGATAACAACTAATAAGTCTGAAACTAGAGACAAGAAAAGCTAGATATTAAACTGAGGACACTAAAGAGACAAGAACCAGAAGAGAGGAGAATCTAATAACAGGGAGACGTAATAAGTGAGATGGGTAAGAAAATATGAAATGACTAGGGGAGCCATGGGGAAACCTGAAAGGGGCTGGGGACCACAGGGACACAGAACATGACAATTAAAGGTTGACCAAAGACTTTCTGTGATCTATTGTGGTCCATGAAGGTGTGGAGAACAGTCTCAGGTTCAGAGCGGGACAGAATGGGACTCACCTTAGCAATGTTCCTGAGATGGAAGAAGGAAGAGCAAACAAGATAACTGACATGAGAATCCAGGGTGAGGGCTGGGTCAAAGGTCACACCGAGATTCCTGACAGTGTTGGTGTATATAAATTAATTAATTAATTAATTAATTAATGTAGGAAACATTCATACATGTTGGCCTAAGTCTTTCTGTCTATTTAGTGGCATAACACTATAAAACACTCTTGAAAATCATGCTGTATAATTCTTTAGCTTTCTACTACTTAGGTAGCTTGGCATTATTATCCAACCAGTTATTGTTTTACTGTTTTTAATGTTAGCATTTGACTTTCCTTTTTAGTAACTTCTGAACTTTTAAAAATGACTTTACATTGATAGATGCTATATTTTGTTTCTGACTTTGTGATCAATCTTGGGCATCTGACGATGTCGTGAAAGGGTTTTTCTTATAAATAAAGTAAAGTATGTTCCACCGGTTCTCCCTTAATGGGAAACTTAAAACATGCTGGTGACCCCCGTGTCACTGCATCAATCCGGCGAGCTACAGGTCAGATCCAGAAAAATGTGAGAACTCGAAGCTCAGCTTTAGTCTCGCATTGATGTGGTCATGCATTGCATTCAAATATCCAGCTGGGGTCCTCCTAACCCTAAAAATACTCAGAACATGCAACTTCTCTTTAGGCCAAGATGCAATTTTACAAATTAAATATGAAAATGTTTCTTTATGCAGATACAACAAATGAAAATACCCACGTGTCTAGTTTTATGGACAGTCACAAATCTTCCACTCAGATAGCTCCTCTGCAGCATTGTACCTCAAACTGTGCTAATATGTTCTGTGGAATCCACGCAGTCTGACATCTTTTGATTTAACATCAATGCATAAACACCGTCAATTCCTATGTGTTTCAAAATGTATTTAGCTCCTAAAGCCTGAACTGTTGGAACTGTTTTGCTATTTTACTGCACATGTGTATGTCCACCAGAAATGTGTGTAGCTTGTATTTGCTGTGACCTCTGAGTAACCACAAGTTATTGATTTATCTATTGGTTTTGCAGTATTTTTTTAAATCTGTGATACTATTGGCAGTGATTTTACTTATAAACACTGTTTTAAAGGTCTTATTCTTGTGATCGGTGTTCAGATGTGTTTCACATAAAAATGTAAACAAAATGGTATTCTGAGCTTGCTTTCTGCATGAGTTTGGGTCTCGAGGGACCGATGCTGCTGACGTTTCTCCATTTCAACGCTGCCCACTAGTCCAAACAGCCATTTTAGGTTTTGTGTCTGTATTAACGATGTTGTGGACAGACATGAGACTGTGGATCCAGGTAGCAGGTGCTGTAGCTGAGTACTACTGTTTTGCTCTCCCACTGGAAACCCCTCTATTCTGTGTGCTGTGGTTAAAAAAAAGACATTGCCTTGGAGGTAGCAGAAAATGGGGGAGGGGTAGGGAAGCCAAGCATGGCACTAGGAGAGGGAGGAGAGGATGGAGGGAGGGTAGAGAGGCAATGCAGAGCATCATGTGCTATGCTTGAGGAAAGCATACAGGATGGGGATTGGCTGCTGGAGGATGCAGCGTCACTGTCAAAGAGGGAGAGCTCTGAGGGTGCTCCGTGAAGCTGGGAGGGAATACAGACGTTGGGAATTTACACGGAGACCCCAGCCTTTATCAGCCCCACACTCCAAACTGGGAGTCCTCTGCAGGATCGTTTCCCACGCCCAGTGCTTGCTCATCCTTCTCAAGCCATGAATTATCTACGCCGGCGTCTCTCAGACAGCACCTTTATCTCCAACCTGCCCAATGGCTACATGACAGACCTTCAGAGGCCTGATCCGACTCAACCTCCTCCAACTGCTTCCACCACCACCACCTCTGCCAAATCCCCTACAGCTGGGCCGACACCTCCGGCCACTTCCCCTTCCCCTGCCCCTGAGAGGAAGCCTCAGCCGTCACAGTCAGCTGGATCTGGCTTCTTCAGCTCCATTACAAACGTTGTTAAGCAGACAGCTGCCTCAGCGGGGCTTGTGGAGCAGACCCAAGTCACGACACCCAAGAAGTTTAAGATTCTCCTTGTGATTGATGAACCGCAGCAGGAGTGGTAAGGCAAATATTTCATCCTAAAGGGTTGGTTGTTGTAATTTTTATTTCTTTTCTCCATCCTTTTTAGTGGTTTCCTGAGGTTGTGTACCTAGTAGCTAACATAACTGAAACTCTGTCAACCACCATGCAAATGTGTTTTTATAGTGTGTTATGCCAGTCGCCATGACTGTCCAGAGCTGAATGAAGTGTGATCAGCTGATTCTAGGAAAGATCTTAAAAATGAGAGAAACACTGAGATCTTTGGTTGTCTTTCTTTGATTTAATGGCTTCTGTAGCAGTTTTGTCTCTTAAACAATAACCTGGTTTCAGGAGTGGTTTGGTACCTCTAGCAGGCCTGGACAGAAAACACCTTAATCCCATGGTGTCAGCCTGAGAGCTGCAGCACTTCAATTCAGTCAATGGGGTACTACTTTTCCCCCACTAGCGTACACTGATGCTGGAGATCATGACATGCATCACAAATGAAAGAAAACACAAATTTATGATGATGATTACCCAGGTGTTCTCCTGCCTTCTGGGAGAGAGGACGAAGGTGTCATTAACTAGCTCAACCTCAATCTCTCTAAGCCAGTACAATGGCAGCCCCTGTCCTGAGGGATCGTGCTCGAAGGGAGATTAAACAAACCTCTCTGTCTGCTTTCTTTGCAGAGAAAACACTGTATGAGCCTTACATCAGTGTTCATTTATACAAGTTACATTCTTCTCCTCTGCACTGTGTGCTGATGAAATTACTTTTCATTTAAACTGTAAACAGGATGTTTTTAAAGGTTATTGTTTAAAAACATGAAAGGATTAGCATGTCTGCTATTTAAATAGTTTTTACCAACCCCTCCATCCATCCATCCATCCATCCATCCATCCTTCCATTTTCAGCCGCCTATCCAGGGTTGGGTTGCGGGGGCAGAAGCCTTAGCAGGAAGGACCAGACTTCCCTCGTCCCAGCCACTTGGGCCAGCTCCTCCGGTGAATCCTAAGGCGTTCCTTGGTCAGCCATAAGACATAGTCCTTCCAGCATGTTCTGGGTCTTCCTTTAGGCCTTCTCCCGGTTGGACGTGCCCAGTAAACCTCACCTGGGAGGCGTCCAGGAGTCATCCTAACTAGATGCCGTAACCACCTCAACTAGCTCCTCTCGATGTGGAGGAGCAGCAGGTCTACTCCAAGCCTCGAATGGCTGAGTTTCTCACCCTATCTTTAAGGGAGATTGGGTGAGAATGACCTCATCCCTGACCCGGAGAAGGCATTCTACCCTTTTCTGACCTAAAACTATGGTCTTGGATTTAGAGGAGCTGATTCTCATCCCAGCTGCTTCGCACTCGGCTGTGAACCACTCCAGAGAGAGCCAGAGATCACGTTCTGATTTGAGCCAACAGGACCACATCATCTGTAAAAAGCAGAGACTTAATCCTTAGGCCACCAAACGGATCCTAACACCTTAGCTATGCCTAGAAATCCTGTCCATAAAAGTTATGAACAGAATTTGTGACAAAGGACAGCCTCGGTGGAGTCCAACTCTCACCGTAAACAAGATCAACTTACTGCCGGCGATACGGACAAAGGTCTGGCACTGGACATATAGGTACTTAACAGTCCATATCAGAGGGCCTGGTAACCCATACTCCCGAAGTACCCCTCGAAGTACCCCCCACAGGGTCCCCCGAAGGACACGGTCAAACGCTTTCTCCAAATCCACAAAACACACATAGAATGGTTGTGCAAACTCAGACTCCCCAGACTCTGCTCCGTCACTAGAAGACGTACCGGTGGGATTGAGGAGGTGTTCAAAGTACTCCGCCCACCAATCCACAACGTCCTGAGTAGAGGTCAGCAGCACCCCATCCCCACTGTAAACAGTGTTGGTAGCACACTGGTCTTTGCCTCTGTGACACCCCGGGCCAGATTCCACTTGGCCTGCTGGTGTCCACCAGCGGGTTCGGGGATTGCCACCACGACAGGAATCAATGACCCTGAGGCCGCAGCTCCGGCCGGCCGCCTCGACAATGGAAGCATGGAACAGGACCCCCGGAACATTTTGCAAGTTCTGTCGGTGGGAATTGAAACGTCTTCTGACAGGAGACTCTGCCAGGTGTTCCCAGCGGACCTTCACAATACGTTTGGGCCTGCCAGGTCAGACTGGCATCCTCCCCCACCATCGAAGCCAACTCACCACCAGTGGTCAGTTGACAAATCTGCCCCTCTCTTCACCTGAGTGTCCAAGAAATGTGCAGATCAGATGAGAGACAAAGTCGATTATCGAGCTGTGGCCTAAGGTATACTGATGCCAAGAGCACATGCGGACACCTTTATGTCTGAACATGGTGTTCATTATGAACAATCCATGACTGGCACAGAAGTCAAATAATAAAACATTGTTCAAATTCAGATAAGGAGGGGCGTTCTTCCCCACCATAGCACTCCAGGTCTCACTGTCATGGCCCACATGAGCGTTAAAGTCCCCCAGCAGAACGAGGGAGTCACCAGAAAGAGCGGTCTCCAGTGCCTCCTCCTAAGGAAGTCTGAGCTGCAGTTTGGTGCACAAGCACAAGGCACAGTCAGGACCCATTTCCTCACATGTAGGCGGAGGGTGGCTACCCTCTCATTCACTGGGTAAACTCCAGCGTACAGGCACCAAGTTGGGGGGCAAATAATATGCTCACTCCTACTCAGCGCCTCTCAATGGGGACAACTCCAGAGTGGTAGTGTTCAGTCCCTCTCAACCTCGCACACCCAATCAGGCGCCTTCTCCATGAGAGAGTCAGGTAAAACTTCTCTAGCAAAGAACATGACAATTATACAGAGCATAGTTTACATTCGCAATATGTTCAGTCTAAAATCTTCAGTTTTCAGATAATTGCATTGCAGAGGTGCATTAAACTAAATAATAGATGGAACTGTACTTCAATCAAACCAGCTCTACTCACAATGATTAATGTCTGATATAAAAGTTCTCCTCAGGTTTTGCCAAAGAAAAGTGGCATCATTTTGATATTTTGCTAGACTTGACGTTGTTGCTTCTCCTGAAGATGTAATACTGCTGAAGTGTTTGGTGTTCATGACCTCTGATGTCTTGCTCCATGCGTATCTACTGCTCAATCACCTGGAAAGTAATTCATTCAGAGGGCTTCCTCTTTCTAAGTGCTGCATCTATATTTTATAACAGCTCGGTATGGGGGAGGGCGGAGGGGTGGCCCTTTGGCTTGTTTTTAAAAGAAAGCAATTCCCTTAACCCTGCCACCAAAAAACATAATCAGAATACCACTTTTAGGTTAAAAACAAAACACTGTGAGGTGAAAAGCATCACAGGTGAAACTCTAGAAATTAGAGTGTGATGCAGAAATCAATTTATTTCAATAATTCAGCTTAGACTGAGAGACTATTTAACCCCCTCAGGCTTAAAATAAGTTTTGATAAAAGGATGAACGACTAAGTAAGTAAGTAGTAAGTAAAGTTTATTTATATAGCGCCTTTCACAGATATAAATCACAAAGCGCTGTACAACATGAGTAAAATCAGGGCAAATACCTCAAACCAATAAAAACATCATAAAAACAATAACAGTGACAACAATAGTAACCAAAATCAGGAGTAAAAACAAAGTCAAGGTGTGAACAAGAACAAAGCCATCTTTTAGAATATTTAGGGAGGGAACGCATGGATGAAAAAGGTGAGTTTTAAGATGTTTTTTGAAGACCTCTACAGATTTCAAGAGACGGAGATTTGAAGGCAGACTGTTCCAAAGTCTGGGGGCAATAGACTGAAAGGCCCTGTCCCCTTTGGTTTTCAGACTGGTTCAAGGAACAGCCAGGAGGTTTTCAGATGTGGATCGGAGGTTCCGTGAAGTGGTGTGTGGGGATAAAAGCTCAGATAAATAGCTTGGAGCCTGGTTGTTAAGAGCTCTTTAGGTCAGCACTAAAACATTAAACTGTATTCTATATTCTACCGGGAGCCAGTGGAGGGACTGTAAAACTGGAGTGATGTGAGCTCGTCTGCTGGATTTGGTTAGGAGTCTGGCGGCTGCATTTTGGATGGCTTGAAGGCGTGAGAGGGAGGTTCTGCTGAGACCAGTAAAAAGAGCGTTACAGTAGTCTAAGCATGATGACACAAAGGCATGGATGATCTTTTCCAGATCTGCAGTAGAAACCAGTTTACGGACTTTTGAAATGTTTCTCAGTTGAAAGAAACAAGAGCGGGAGATGGTTTTGACATGCGAGTCTAAACTTAAAACCAGATCAAAAATAACTCCCAGGTTTCTAATGTTGGCCTTGGCTGATGGGCAAAAGGAGGCAATTTCCTGCTCGATTTTTGGTTGAAGTTCCAGGGGTGCAGAGATCAGGGTCTCTGTCTTGTTGGCGTTGAGAACAAGAAAGTTGCTGGACAGCCAGTTACTGATCTGGGTCAGGCAGAGTACAAGGGTGGCCAGCCTGTCCAACTGGTGAGGCATGAACGACATCTGTATATCGTCAGCATAGATGTGGTGGGAGATGTCTGGGAAAGATTGAATGATGCCAGCTAGAGGAAGAATATAAAATGCGAATAGTAGAGGCCCTAGAACTGAACCTTGTGGAACCCCGCATGTTAGAGAGGCAGTGTCTGAAGAGAAGGTTTCTGACTTCACTGTGAATGTTCTGTTAGTGAGATAGGAAGAGAGCCAGTCTAGAGCAGAACCTGAAATCCCAGCCAGGGCATTTAACCTGTTTGGTAGAACGTTGTGGTCTACAGTGTCAAAAGCTGCACTGAGGTCAAGCAGGACCATGACAAAGCATTTCCCAGCATCAGCAGCCATCAGGAGGTCATTATGCACCCTTACTAGAGCAGTCTCAGTTGAGTGCTGCTTCAGAAAGCCAGACTGGAAGGGGTCAGAGATCTTTGACTTAGAAAACCAGGATCTGAGTTGGGTTTCAACAACCTTCTCAAGTACTTTACTGATGAAAGGTAGTTTAGAAATGGGCCTAAAGTTACTGGTGGAGCTGGCGTCAAGGTTGGGTTTCTTTAAGAGAGGAGTCTCTACTGCATTTTTAAAGTAAGATGGAACACAGCCTTGGCTCAGTGAGCTGTTGATTATAGTCAACAGAGATGGACTGATGGAGGCAAGGGACCCGACTAAAACAGAGGGAGTTTAGATATCTGATGAGCATGATGAGAGCTTCATCTGACTGATTATTGAGGCTAAGTCATTTCGTGTAATTGGGGAGAAGGAGGTGAAAGACTCGGAGCACTGGGGGGCCTCCCCACCTTGGGGGGGGGGGGGGGGTAGCTGGTGGAATGCTGGATCTCAGATTCAGCACCTTGTTGGCAAAAAAGTGGTGAAAGGTGTTACAGTCATCAGCTGAAGATAGCTGAGCCTGCTGCGGAGGAGGAGTAACGATGCTGGAGATGGTATCAAACAAAACCTTAGGATTATTCGTATTTTGGCATATGAGTTTGCTGAAGAAAGAAGACCTGCCATTTTCTACAGCTTCGTTGTATGACTCGAGAAGTTCTTTAAAATATTCGCGATGAACAACCAGACCTGTCCTCTTCCACCGTCGTTCCGCTTTTCTATATCAAGAATCTGGTTGTTCAGCCAGGGAGAACTGGAGGCACTGGAACTGCGGCTGGTTTTGTAAGGGAAGACCTGATCTAGAATGTTGAGGCAGTGATCATTAAATGAGTTGGTAAGGAGCTCTACGTCATCAGAGGAAGGAGGTACAAAGTCAAAGAGGGAGGAGAAATTTAAAATGGTAGAACTGTTGCTAATACGTCGTTGCTTGGCAGAGTCTGGTAAAAGAGATTCAGAATTTAAGTTAATATGAAAAGAAATTGATTTATGGTCACTGAACACAACATCATTTATCTGCAGTTTATCAACAAGAAGTCCGTAGGAAAAGACCAGATCCAGGGTGTGGCCTGCTCTGTGAGTGGGACCAGACACGTGTTGAGAGAAGTTCAAAGTCCTTCAGGGGTACTTATGAGTTAAAAAATGTTCATGAAATACATACGTGGAGTAACCAGGTAGGTAGGTTTTAACGTTGCAAATCTGAGGGTTAAAGGTTAACACTGATTAGAGTGTGGCACGTTCAGTCTACGAATGTGGGATTTAAGCTGTAAGTCATAGCCACCACAATAATAACAAAGGCTTGAAATATCTGCCATTGCATGTAATGAGTCTGTTCCATATATTAGTTTCACCTTTTAAGTTGAATTACTGAAATAAATTAATTCTGGCACCATTTTCTGATTAGTTTAGCTTCACCTGTATAAGCTCAGTGAACTGCAAGAAAGAAGGCATCCTTTGTGTTCTGGGACTGGGACTACACTGAGATGTAATGCTGCTGGCAAGTCTCAGAGAGATAAAAACGAGTCTTTATTTTCATAAAGATTCTGGCAAGAAGCTGCTTTGCTCGGTGCTGATGCACAACTTGAGTCTGAGGCTTTATTTGTGCGCTGTAACTCACTGTCTGACAGGCAGCATTCTCTTCATGGCCTAAAATAAGTCAAAGCAGAGGGATGAGATCTGGAAGCCCCACAGAATTTAATCTAGAAGTACTTCTTCAGGGTGAAATGGACCAGAAGGCTCAGCCAATCCAGCCACCTGCTTAGGAAAAGTCCTGATTAGACCAAACTATAAATGACTGGTCTTTATAGAACATCATGGGGATTGTGTTGTTTATCTTTATTCAAATATATTCGTTAGGCTCAGATGGGGAACAGTGATTTTAATAACCACTGTATTGTATTTTAGGTCTGTAATATTTGTGAAATGAATTAAATAAATTATAGTTATGAAATAGTTAAAATTATTGTAGTTGTTGTTGTTCGCATGAAGGCAATAAATACAAAGAAATAAAAGCTGAATCTCATCATTTGCATTACATTGAGTGTGATAACATCAATGATGAATAATGAACTTTTATAGAATTTAATATTATGCAAAACAGAGCGCATGAAAATAAACCTCAACAACACTTCAGGAAAGATCCTTTCTGTGTCAAATCCCTCTTCTGCTCACGAAGACACACCAGATTACCAGCCTGGATGCTCGTCTCGTTTCAGGATTCACGTTGTCTTGCCCTCGAAAGCACCCATAAGCAAAGGTCTTTGCCTTCCTTCCATAAATGTATGAGTCCCTGTAGATGTTCAAAACAAATCACGAGAAGACTAACAAAAACATCTTATTACATCTCTGAATGAGGTCAGACTAATACTTTCAAAACAAACAAATAATGTGTAGAAAACTTTGTGATGTCATGAAGCGAAGGCGGCTTTATTTATATAGCACATTTCATACATTCCTTTTCATTAGCAATAATAGCGAGAACAGAGCTGGAGTCTGAGCTTCTGTCCGTTGGTGAAACTTGTTTCTGTGTTTTTACACACAGCAGTTTTATCTTGGAGCTGCTAAAGCTCTCCATTTTCTTGTGAGCAGCATTTTCAGAGATCAGGGATCCTATGACCACTCTGACTCAAAACTCTGATCTGCTGTTTAATATTTGAATTCTCACAGATTACCCCGTTTTATTCCAGCTTGGCCTCATAGCTAACTCTAAGCTGTTTCTCCTTGTTCAAATTGTTGGTTAGATCTTCACAGACAGATGTTTTTTGTGGAGTTGCTGTATAAGGTTCGCCAGCTCCTCGCACATCTTCTGGTCTGACTTAGTTTCTAAAGTCTGAACACTTTCCAGTATCTGACTGAGCTCCGTGTTCTTCTTTTTGAGATCCGTTCAATCCGTTCGATCACATTTACTATGTAGTATTTCTATGGCTACATTGTGATTTCTTAGTAAATATTCTATTTAGTAAGAGATAAACTTTATTGTCTTTATCTTAGTAAATATATAATTAATTCAGCAGGTGAAGTAGCACATTCCATGACAAGGAAGAGAGAATGCTAAGTGGTTAGCAGCAGCGTGCCAGCCGATGGCCCCTTCCCCTCTGATTTGAAACATTGAAGATGAAGTAACATTTCAGGAGCCAATAAGAAGAAGGGGGCGTTCCCATGTGCAAACCAAAACGCCCCTATCAGCAGCTGGCTGTATGATATTGGAGCCTCCATGAGGCCACCACAGCTCAGCAGAACACCACTGAAGCTTCTTCTGAGAAAAACACTTGGAGAGAAAATAAAGTTAACAGCTGAAATAGCAGGAGATGGTGCAATTGGAGAGAAGTGGAAGAAGAAAGTAGTGGATTGGGGAAAGTGGTCAGTACATCCTCCAGCAGTCTAAGCCTATAGCAGCATAACTACAGAGATAACTCTGGATAACCTAGCCTTTTAGATGGAGGCATGTTGGAAGCAGGGCAAGTGGTGTGTTGTGTTTGGGATCATTATTATGCTGAAAGGCCCGGCCATGCTTCATCTGCAATTCTCTTGTTGAGGTTTTCACTCAAATTCTGACCAGACATGGTCCCATTCATTCTTTTGCTTACACAGATCAGTCGTCCTGGTCCCTTTGCAGAAAAACAGCCCCTAAGCATGATGTTTCCACCCCCATGCTTTACAGTAGGTATGGTGTTCTTTGAATGCAACTCAGCATTCATCCTCGTCCAAACATGAGTAGAGTTTTTACCAAAAAGTTCTATTCTAGTTTCATCTGACCATATCACATTCTCCCAATCCTCTTCTGGATCATCCAAATGCTCTCTAACAAACTTCATACAGGCCTCCACTTGTCCGGGGTTAAGCAGGAAGACACATCTGGCACTGCAGGATTTGAGTCCCCAGTGGCGTAGTGTGTTACTGATGGTAACCTTTAACTTTGGTTCCAGCTCTCAGCAGGTCACTTTACTGGGGCGACGGTGGCACAGGAGTTAATTGCTCGCCTCGCAATCGGAAGGTTGCAGGTTCAAGCCCCGCTCAGTCTGTCGCTGTCGTTGTGTCCTTGGGCAAGACACTTAACCCACCTTGCCTGCTGGTGGTGGTCGGAGGGGCCGGTGGCACCAGTGCTCGGCAGCCTCGCCTTTGTCAGTGCGCCCCAGGGCAGTTGTGGCTACATTGTAGCTCATCCCCGTCATAGTAACGCACACCCTGAAAATTTAAATCACTGACCGGCAGCCGTGAGCTGCAGGTGTGGTCTGCTTTTCTAAATGCTTGATCACAAACGTGGACAGGTGCAGTGATTTTCAGGTGCGTTTTTCTGAATCTCAGAAACACCACGTGATGGATGGTGTGAAGTCAGTGTTTGCTCCATGCAGCTTTCTTTTACAAATTCAGCCCTGAATTATGTTGCGTAATGTTTGAGCCATGCTTAGTGCCAGGTTGAAGGGAAGAGTCAGAGATGCTGAGTGTTCAGCACTAAGGAGGACAAAAGGATGCTGAAATTTTCACTCTGCAAAGTGGCATTTATTTAACCCTCCCACTGTCTTTATGGGTGTGACCCCGCGAGGAATGTTGACCATTGAGCAGGATTGATAGTTTATCCCTTGAGGTCCACATGGCAGGGGTGTGGTGGTGCTCACTCCTCACCCCTGCTACATGGACCCAAGGGATGAACTATCAACCCTGCTCAATGGTCAACTTTCCTCGCGGGGTCACACTCTTTAGGACAGTGGGAGGGTTAAGAGTGATCCATATTCCTGCTTATCACAGGAATTATTAACTGATGGATTTACATTTGCACATGACACTTAATTATAAATATTTTCTTAGAAAAATCTCTCAATCTGTTATCTTTTTTTTCTGCTGCTTCATTAAAAATTCATGTTTTTTTCTTACCTAGGGCAAAGTTATTCAAAGGAAAGAAGGTACATGGGGAATATGACATCAAGGTGGAACAGGTAGGTCTCCAGAGCCTGTTTGATCCATTACAAGCATTATGGAAAAACAAATAGATTAATCCTCTGTCTGTGTGAATGTAGGCTGAATTTGGTGAGATTAACGTTGTGTCTCATGCCAGCGGAGCCTGCAGCGTGAACATGCAGGTTCTCAGAAACGGGACCAGGGTCATCAAGTGAGACACACACACACACACACACACACACACACACACACACACACACACACACACACACACACACACACACACACACACACACACACACAAAGAATGTTTTCAGGCTGAACATTTGCTGCTTCGTTGCTTATATGTCTCTTGCAATGTTTCCATGGTTACTGACATATTTAAAAGCATTTCACAGCTCATCACATCTTTCCATTAAGTGTTTAGTGATCTTGAGGGTCTCTGTCATCTGTGATTGTCTCTTGTGTTTTTTGACTTCATGATTTTTTATTCAACTTTTTGCAATGACCTGAACAGGTCAGTTAGAGGTTTCGCGATGCAGCTTTCTCTTTTTGTTGTGCTTGACTGGCATCCTGCACTTTACCTTTCATATGACTCAGGATTGAATGCCCAGGTGGCCAAACAGCCAGAGATGGGATTCATCCAAAAACAAAAACATGATTTTGTTCCTCAGCAGTCCAATCCCTGGACTTTTAAAGCTCCACAATTTATGTTTGTGCCATTGTCAAACTCAAGCCACATCTCCACATCATTGTTTAATCATACACCTACAGACGCACCAGTCTTGGCCCAGTTCATTTGTCTCGACGGTTCTGATCAATAGCCAATTGTGTTTCCATTCTCCAGAAGCTTTAAGCCAGACTTTGTCCTCATTCGCCAACACGCCTTCAGCATGACCCAGAATGAAGATTTTCGCAATCTGATCATCGGTTTGCAGTACGGTGGCGTTCCAAGCATCAACTCCCTCGAGTCCATTTATAATCTTTGTGACAAGCCGTGGGCAGTGAGTACTCAACAATGTCTTTTTTTTTTTATTCTGCACATCTGAGAGTGGCATTGTTTGTTAGATTAACCTGTATCCTTGTAAACTTGGTTTCCTACAACTGATTGAACTGTTAACTATATTCATGCAGTTTGCCCAGCTTATCAACACACACAGGAAACTGGGTGCTGAGAAGTTCCCTCTCATTGAACAGACCTTTTACCCAAATTACAAGGAGATGGTGAGAATCCCACCACCTGTCATGTTGTTTTACTTGTTTATTTTTGTCAAAGAAGAATGTGTTTTTATTACATAATCCTGGAAAACCAAATCATTAAAATAATATCCTTGTTGTTTAGGTGAGCATGCCGTCATTTCCCGTTGTTGTAAAGATCGGACACGCACACTCTGGCATGGGAAAGGTAAAGTTGTGATTTTTGTTTTAGTTTGATAAAAGAACGCTTTCGTTTTTATGGGCAAATGCCAACAAGTAACATTTGCAACAGTTCTGAAGTTTTGAACTTGGTTTTAGAAGAAAGGTTGTGAATTTTGATGCTTGAATAACTCTTTGCATAACCTCAGATCAGATCATGATCTGATTGACAAGCTAACAGCTTGTCAGAGTGGAGCCACTCACAAAGTAGATGTTTATCATTGTTGAAGGTCAACTTTACTCATATTTTTAATAAATTTGCAGTGGTCTCTAGTAGGAATGAATGTCTTGTAAGTTGTTCTCTGGGTGAAAAAGCTCTGGTGTGCCTGATTCAGGACAGAGAATTTTGCTGGAGGAGAAAGTGGCAGAACAGGATGTGGAGTCTTATTTCCTGACATTCAGACATCTCACCTCAGATTGGCTAACAGCAACACGACTTTACCCCTAACTCAGTTTGCTGTGCAACGCTGATGTTTTATCTCCATAAAAACACAAGCCTGAAGGAGTTCTGCCGTGTGGTGGAGTTGCTAATGCTAATGTTAGCTTCTACTAACTGAAGCATTCTCTGTTTTTTCCTGGATGCTAAACCAATAACAGCCTTCCCTGTCGTGAGTCAAGATGGGTGAGTCTAGTAACAGTGTGACGTAGATCTGTCAGGATTTTCTAATCCTAGAGTTTCACCGTCTATTTTCTATCAGAAGCTAATGCAGGAGATAGGTGTAGGAGACTATTTTCATGTTCAGCCTGCATGAAAAAGTCAGTGACCAGAAAAAACAATTACAAACTTTTTGTTAGTGAAGTTGACCTTTAAAGACCAAGTTTGCTCATTTTTTGCAGCACATTTCAGTGGTCTCTCAGTTTAAAGAAATTACTTGTGAGTCTATCTGGGGCGGGGGGTGCGGGGGAGGCTCTGGTGCTCCTGCTTCAGGAACTAGAAGTTAGCCAGAGAGGAGGGAAGCATAACACAGCAGGATTTGGAGTATTATTTTCTGATATTCAGACATCATGCCTCTGCTTGTATAGTACATATTCTTCAGGTGAACCTTAATATTCACAGAGAAATTTGCATCACCTCTCATGAGCTAGTAGAAAAAGACGTTTTCACATACCATAATATTATTGTGAGGTACCTTGACATTATATAGACAATTTAACAAAGAACTGATCTCCAAACTGATCTCCCAACTGAGGTCATTCAAACAGCTATGCACAACAAGTAAGGCATTCATTGTTTCTAATCTTTCCACAGAAACCCACCAGAAAGATACAAACAATCTATTTAGGCAGCAAAAACAAGATAAATACCTATTATTTTGTGTTTGACTGTTTTTTGTGTGTTTGTGTGCAGGTGAAAGTGGACAATCACAATAAGTTCCAGGACATAGCCAGTGTTGTGGCTCTCACCCAGACCTACACCACCACAGAGCCTCTTATTGATGCCAAGTATGATATAAGAATCCAGAAGATAGATGCTGACTACAAAGCCTACATGTATGTAGAGTTATACGTTTACAGCTCAGATTCATAACCAGACAAGAACCCAACCTGAACATTGTTGTTCTTTTCTTTTGCATCAGGAGAACATCTATTTCTGGTAACTGGAAGAGCAACACAGGCTCTGCTATGCTTGAACAGGTGGCCATGACTGATAGGTAAGTCTAGACTAAGAGTTCCTCAGTATGAAAACTAGTTTCATGTTAATTTTAACTTATTCTCCAGTATTTTGTTCTGCTAAAGTAGTGACAAGTAGTTGCTGTTGATTCTGACGCATGGTTTATCTCCTTGTTTGTGTTTGTTTGGTTAAGGTACAAGCTGTGGGTCGACACCTGCTCAGAAATATTTGGGGGTCTTGACATTTGTGCCGTCAAAGCTATTCACGGGAAAGATGGTAGAGATAACATCACAGAGGTAAGAGGTAAACAGGATTAAGAAGGGATTACCCAAAACTTTGCCAGCTGAACAACTACTGCATGGGTCAGGTTTCATCAACAGTTTGGTATAGAGCACCTTTAGTCCCTCTTAACAAACAATCACAGAATTTAACTAAAAAAACCTCAATAAACTAAGAAAAGCTAAATGAATGAGGATTGTTAAATGCAAAGTTAAACACTAACAATATTAATTAGATGAATGTTATAAATATTAAACTGTTATTACCTTAAATTGTATTATAGCACATTCCATGTCAGGCTGTCAGTCAGAATCAGACAAAATTCTGAAACTTTACAGTTTTAGCCATTTGCTTAAACACGACTGACAGATGCTAAAACCAAAGGAACCCAACTTGAAGTTGTTGTGGCTCTGCCTTAAACAAAGTGTAACCATACCTTAGACAAAAGTGCTGCTTTGCACTTTGGTTGCAATTCTGCAAAACACTAGCTCCTTTCTACAACACACTTGCTCCTGCTCACAACACACTATTTCATACATAAGACACTTTGTTCAAAAAGTAAATCTCGCAGTACCATTGGGAAAACACAGCTATTCAAAATACAAAACACAGTCTGTCATTGAAAACAATTAGACACACACCTGAAAACAATTACTAACAAAACTGAACACCAATCAGTCAGCTACAAAAAGGCCTTAGCTAATCCATTTTTGAGAACTTGCCAGCATGGGGGGGGGGGGCTAGAGGCAGAGCAAGAGGAGGACGTGGACGAAGAGGCCGTGCAAGGACCATAATTTCTAATGACATTAGGGCAACTGTGGTGGACCATGTCATAAACCATGGTCTGACCATGAGGGAAGCTGGACAGAGAGTCCACCCCAATCTTAGCTGTTTCACGGTCGCATCCATCATAAGGACATTCAGACAGGAAAACAGGTATGTCTTCAATTCCTCTACTACAGTAATGTAGCTTGAGTATCTACAGTACTGTCTCATCTTACATGTATATGTAACGTACATGTACTGTTACACCAGTACTGTACTGAAGGGTGGCTCCTTGTGTTGTGACACATATAATCATGTCTTGAGATGTTTTACAGTACTGTAATACAAGTACAGTAAATACAGTAAAATACAGTTTGTATAGTACTGAAAAATAGAACAAAACGATTCCAAATACTGGATGCATTGTTTTCTACAGAATGATCAGAAGACCTACTGGCGGTGGACGTCAACACCTATTTACTGAACAACAAGAACTTGCATTAGTGGACATGGTCAGGGCAAATAATGCGATCCGTGTCCACCAGCTACAGAGTCACATAATTGCAGATAGACAGAGTTTTGGCAACATAAATACAGTATGCATTACCACCATTAGACACATCTTGACAAAGCACCATATTACAATGAAACAACTGTACAGGGTTCCATTTCAAAGGAACAATGCCAGAGTGAAGGAACTTCGACGTGAATACGTACAGGTAAGTGTTTCAGTCCTCTACATTTATAATACAAAAGAGGAGCAGTCAAATAGCTGAGTCTGTACCATTGGATCAGGACCACATTGACACTGTATATTCAGAAAGCTAAACCGGCCCCTGTGTGATGAGGTGGTTCATTTCTGTATCAGTGTAGTTGTGTACTTTGAGTAATGCCATTCATACAGTACTGTACAGTACAGTAATATGTACTTTTTCTTGCAGAGAATGCTCGCCATGGATGGAGCTGCTCAGCCTCATGAGTGTATTTACATCGATGAGGCTGGATTCAATCTGACAAAAAACAGACGACGGGGGCGTAATCTTATTGGCCGAAGGGCAATTGTGCTCGTCCCTGGGCAACGTGAAGGAAATATTACATTGTGTGCTGCCATTAGCCTTCAAGGGCTACTGCACCATCATGCCAAATTGGGGCCCTACAATTCACAGGAAATACTCACATTTCTTGATGGTCTACATGACATCGTCATACAGAATAGACCAGAGCAGCCCAGGTTTGTTGTTGTGTGGCATAATGTTAGTTTCCACCAGGCTGCTCTGGTCCAAGACTGGTTTACTCATCATGAAGGATTTGAAGTGGTGTACTTGCCCCCTTACTCCCCATTTTTGAATCCTATGGAGGAGTTCTTTTCAGCATGGAGATGGCGCTTATATGACCGCCAACCCCACGCCCGAATGCCACTTTCACAAGCAATGGAACAGGCCTGCGGAGATATCGAAATCGGGTCAATTCAGGGATAGATTAGACACACAAGGGGATTTTTCCCCCGATGTTTAGCCAGAGGAGATATTGCTTGCAATGTGGACGAGGTCCTGTGGCCCGACCCCGACAGACGGCAGGATCCATACATGTAACTTCTTTTGTGTGAAGTTCAGTTTGTTTTATTTTTGCTTTACAGTAACTGAATTTCCTGTCATATGAATTTCACTACTGTAATGTAATTGCAGTAATGTTGATTTCAGTATTTTATTTTTGGAATTATGAAAAACATCTGGAATTGTAACTGAATAAATACAGTACAAGTGAAAGACTCCAGTGTTTTATTTAAAGTAGACTAGTGTGTTGCCGCAGATATGAGAGTGTATTGACATGTGGAACTGGGCATCATTTAGTCATCAAAGTGAGGTTTTGACAAAGGATTGTTCAGTTTTGATGGCAGAGTTTGCATCTGGCATAGATGTGAATGGTTTATTTCCCAGTGTTCTTCCGTACTTCCTTGAGTGTGGAGTTTTGGCACCATGAGCCAAGTTTTGCAAAGTGTGTTCAAGCAATGGACTAAAACTGTAAAATGCCATGCATATGTGCATGCAGTGTTTCCTCTGTGTGTGTGTGTGTGTGTGTGTGTGTGTGTGTGTGTGTGTGTGTGTGTGTGTGTGTGTGTGTGTGTGTGTGTGTGTGTGTGTGTGTGTGTGTGTGTGTGTGTCATCTACATATGTGGTACCTCAGGGAACTGTTCTTGGACCTGTTTCATTTTCTCTACAAATGCTCAACCTTGATGCAGAGATTCAATAGTACAGTTTCTTCATTACCCTTATGCATAATGTTACTGCCGACTGAACGAATAGGAAAAGCATTCATTGTTTTGCTGAAATTAGAAACTGGAAGGAATCATACTTGTTAGCTGGATCAGGTAATTTTGTAATTTCAAGTTCCCGGCAAGATTAACCAGTCCTCTGATTTCTGTCACTGTTTAAATACTCTCGACAGAAATTTAACCAGTAATGATTGTAATAAAAAATAATAATATTTTTGATTTTAGCTTGTCAAAACTCTGGAAACAGATGCAATAACATGTTTGTGAACCAAAATACGTCCTCTGCTATTGAATATTCCAATTTAAGAATTGTTTGCTTCTGCCTGTTGTTTGCATTTTGTTTGATGCAAAATATGTTTCAATTTTAATTTTAAAAGTTTTTAGGTAAAGTTTTACATAAATGAGATATATTTTCTCTCTGCCTTAACCTTCTGCCATGTGGTGCAGGTGGTGGGTTCCTCCATGCCGCTGGTAGGGGAGCACCAGGCTGAAGACCGGCAGCTCATTGCTGAGATGGTTTTAGCCAAAATGAACCAGATAGCAGAGAAAGAAGCTAATGCTCCTCAGAGACCTACCACCATTCAACCCTCACAGGTACAGAACCATGCAGGCAAAGAAATGAGTTTTGTGTTGGTAAAGGCCTGTTATTGTTGGGTTTTATTTAAACTGGTTGTTTGTTTGCTTTTTTGTTTTGTTTTAATTCAGGGGACTGGCCAGAAGGGAGAGGTC